CCCCCCCCCATTTTTCCCCTATGGCTTCACATATTAAAATATACCAAGTTGGATTCTGAGGTTGTCACATGTAGAACAGATCCACTGAAATAAATGGGAATTAAATCAGTCATGACTACTTCATATCCCACTGATTTCTACAGAGCCACACTGACCTTATTCACTTTCAGGACCATATTTTTCATCATCTTCGCTGCCTGCCTGTCAGCCCAAAAGGTAGACCAGACTGAGAAACCAAAGCCACATTGGTCAGGACTACTTTTATTGTAACAGCTATACTAAGAGAATCTGCATATCTGAATGTGCCTCCCCTCCCTCACATTATCTTCATTTGAAATAGGAGGGGCTTATCTGAGATGTTTTCTCAAGTTACTTTCTTGGCTGGGCTCTCTTTTCTGACCACTGCTTGGTAATGGCTTTTCCTCCTGACCTTCAGGGTCATTCCCTCTTCCCTCCACACTGCCTTAGACAGTCTAGCCAAGAGAATATGTTATGGCTACCCACTCCTCAAGAAATCAAAGGGGTTGGGTCCAGAAGAGGACCTTCTCAATGGCAACCCCCAGGATCAGATTAGTCTCCACCCTCTTATCTTTAAGAAAATGGCGGAAACAGTTCTCCCCAGAGTTTTTAGAAGGAAAGATTTTTAAATGTGGACTGTAGCTGAGATATTTAAGCTATCAAGCTGAGATATTTATGACATGTGTTGTTTTAATGTTTTAATACTGTCAGTGGCCAAGAGTCTGACACAAAGGCAGCACAGAAATAACTGTAATAAATAACAAATATGGATAACCCAGTTAACCATCGATCCACTTATAGTTCTTACCACTAATTTTGATACTACACACTCACAGTACTTAGATCAAAATCCACTATTTTAGGGGAATACCGAGCTTTTGCCCATATCTTCCAAAACATCCTTGTATCCCATAAACCCTGCACGGAAGATTACAGACAAGCTTCCATGAGTAACTGGCAATATACAAATGCAGTATTGTAATTATACATCTGTATTTATTTATATATCTCATGCTTGCTGGGGAATTCTGGGTGTTGAAGTCCACATACAGTATCTTAGAGTTGCTGAGATAGAGAAACATGCATTATCCCCTACTTGATTTAATCTTTATCTTCAACTTCTTTTCCTGGAGCACTGAGTTGGTAAGGTTTTAGAGCTCACTTTTGATTGTGTCAAGGCGTTTGCACAACACAACTGAGTGAAGATTGATCAATTATGTGCCATCTAGTTGATGTTGACTTAGTGTCCATATAGATAGATGTTCTCCAGGACACTCTACCCCCAACCTGGCCCTTTAGTTCTTCCAGTGGTGCATCCATTGCTGTTGTAACTGAGTCTATCCTCCTTGTTGCTGGTGGTCCTCCTCTTCCCTTCCACCTTTCCCACCGTTATAGACTTCTCCAGAGAGCTTAGTCTCTGCATAGTATGTCCAGAATTGGATTATTTGAGCATGGTCCTTTGTACCTGAGTGAGGCTAACTGAGAGCTGTTTTCGATTAAAACTCAAAATCTCTCCTGCCCCACTGCTGCAGAACTGTGGTGTTCCTACAAGCTTAGTGTGCCATTGATTCAAACATGCTATACAATCCCACCTATGTCTGTCTAACTCTGAATCTCACCAACAGTGCAACAGAATTTTTCTGAAAGTAAAAGTATGTGTTATGCTAGTACTAAAGCGCAGCACATCCCCCTACTTTGTATTCTAAAGCAATATCAGGTATCTTCATCCTAACTGAGATGACATAGGACAGAAAGAGTTTTAAACCCCCCTCTTGTTTTCTGAAACTTGACTCCCCCCATGCCTCAGACTTCTGAACAAAATCTAGATTGCAAGGCTATCCTTGTAGAAGGTGCTAACTGGTACACAATACTGAAAGTTTATTACATCGTGTTGAAAGCTCTACCCTTGGTTGCAACATGTTTCCTAGACCCAATTTAAAGTATCGTTTCTGATCTTTAGAAGGAGCTTCAGGCCTGGTTATCTTAAGAAGTGCCTATTTTGATAGGACCCTGCCTGGACATTAACGTCAGCTCAGAGAGGCTTCCACTGTTGGAGACCTTATTGTCCATGGACTCTGTCCTTTTCACTATGCCATTTTCAAGTTATGGACCACAGTCTGCCGCCAGAGTTGTTTTTAGCTCCCACTCTATTTTTAGAAAAAACAGTCAAGACCTTTCTGTTTCATTAGGCCTGTTCAGTTAATTGCGATTTTCACATCTTTTTTTAAATTTAAAAAAAAAGAAGAAGTTTTAACTGTTTGCTTTATTTTTTGTAAGGCAAAGTATACATTTTGTAAATAAATAAACATACGTTTAAAAAAAAAAAACCTCCCCAAAGATAATCAGCTGTTCTTTTATTCTTGGAGAAATTATTCTCTATAAATAAAAGCGGTTTTAGCTGCTCCACTGCTGGGGAGTGGTAATTTTCTTTTGTACATAAAAATGTACAAAATTGTACATGTTTATTTAAATATTGTGTGATTCTTTTTTTAAAAAAAATATCCCATCGATTTCCAATATTCAGGCCTGAGCGCCATTGGTTTTGCATCAGAATGGAACTCTGTCACATGAGGAAGGGAGCCAGAGGCTCAGGGAAACCCCAAGGTTTGCAGAAGATGCATTGACTGTGGGGGAAAAGTGCTAAGTCCAGACATGCATTCCATCCACTCCCTCCCCAATACTCCAAAGGGGGCTGAGGGTCCCCTTTTCCAAGCAGCCCCTTTCCACTCCCCCCTCCCTCCCTCCTCTTTTCCATGCAATTCCTTCCCGGAGAAGGACACCACCCTATATAAAGCAACAGGTCCACCCATCATGCTAAGCTTTTGTAGCTGGTTCAGTTTGGGCTAGGTGTGTTTTCTGAATGAGGTTTCCTGCCATTCACCCCCCCCCCCCCCCCCCC